TTGCTGCTCCATCCAGTGTTCCATCAAAGAGAAAATTGAAGATGAAGAAAAAACTATTGAAGATTATGTTAAAAAAAAATCAGCAATTGGAACATCACCTCAATTGAACATATGTATTCAATTGCTGCCCCATGTCTGCATGAGAAGAAGAACCGGAGGCCAGATATTGAAAGGGTACCAATTTTAAATGTCATGCAACACACCCACGTATGTATGTATGTATGTATGTATGTATGTATGTGTGTATGTATATCATCTTTCCCAAAAACTAAGACCCTGACTTATATAGGAAGGCACCAGGTCTTATTTTTGGGGAGAGGGATGTTGTCCACTGACTCGCCTCACTTGGCCTCCTTTTCACTGTCAGAGGCCTTCAGAAACTCCTGTCAAACCTGGAAGCCATCAGATTCAGTGACTCATGTTGAGACCATGTTCTACCTTTCCTAAGCTGTGGTAAAGGCAGCAGGAGCCACAGAAAAGGAACTCCAGCTAGGAGCCCGATGCAAGGAGCCAGCACCCGAGTGCAGTTTGCAGCCTGCAAAGTGAAGTCATGGGAATTACCCCCCTCCAGGAGAAGCTGTTGGAACCACACATGGGTGTGGGACAAGCCTTGACCTTCAAGTGGAGAGTGCCAAAGCAGACATGCAGCAGGCATTTTGGAGAATTTGCTGGTGGGGCTCCTGGAGCAGTTTGGCCAATTCGGCATGAACACATTACTCAACCCCTCGGCACCAAGCAGTCCAAGTGGACCTTGGCATAGCCTACATTCACCTTCCCGCCAAGAAATTGCAGCATAATGGAGTGGAGCCTCAGCTTCTTTCCACTCCGCAAAGAGTGGCTCGGTCCATAGCCTCACGCCTTGTAATGGACCAGCCATGGCTCCAGTCACTACTGGTATGCAATCACTGGGACCCAACTACTGGGCTTGCTAAATCAGCCTGTCTGGGTGATGTTGGGTCCACAACAGGGCTTCTGGGGTCTCCCTACCCCATCTCTGCAACCTGTCTTTGGACTACCGCCAGCAAGCAAGATCCCACCTGGGTGGGCATTCCAACCAGGCCAAGGATAGGTGCAGTTCCAGTGGACGCCAGCTCCGATCCAGCAACCATTGCCTTTCCAACTGCTTGGCCCTTTCCAGCCGCCAGTTGTTGTTGCACAGAAGGTTCCAGCCCAGGTCATGATCCCTCAGTAGGTCCCGGGGCCACTACAAGTGCTGGTGGTCCCACAGCAAGTGCCGGTCCAGCAGCAGGTGCCCGGTCAGCAACCTGCACAAGCCCAGCAGCTCTTCCCCCTCCACGGTTCTGGGTGACATTTCATAGGACCCCTAGGAAACTAGCCTACTTTCTCAACTGTCTGGGCCTAAATCGACCAATATGCAAATCAATACTGTTTGATAATTGATTTCTGCCATCTTGGATGGCATGAATGAAGGGGAGGTGTCAGAATGGATAGCTGAGCTCTACGATGAAGAAGCCCCTGAGATAGAAGATGCTGACGAGTTCGTCCAGTTGATGCAGAGTAGATTTAGCAACGTTGTCTGAGCTAAGGCTCAGATTAAGGAATTGAAACAAGCCAGCTGACCTGTAAAAGAACTAATTTGGGAATTTCAGAGGCTGGCCGGAAAACTAAGAGACTGGCCAGAACACCTCCTATTGCATACTTTTAAGGAGGCCCTGGATCCGGATCTTGGACAAGCCTGTGGCATCAGGGGAGTACTGGACCACATACAGATGTGGTACAACTGTTATTTTAGACCTGGAAATCCACCCCCAACAGAAAGCCAACCACAGAAAAGCCAGCCAGGAGACGCCTGGGATTCCGGGCCCAGGTGAAGAAAGCTGAGGTGCTGATCCCAACACCATCCGGGACTGTCAAATGCTACCGGTGTGGCCAACATGGGCACCGGGCTTCAGAGTGGTTGGACCAGTCCCTGGTTCCCCAAGCTCAGCCTCCAGCCATGGCCGGGACCCCGTGGAAGCCGTCTGATAAAGGACGACTTGCCAAACAGGCTGCAGAAGTTTCGCTCCTTCCCAATGAAGTCAAGGGAACTCTAGCTGGTGAAGCTCCTCCAGCTCCTGCGGGTGAAAATAGTGGTGATGACAACCCAATGGTAAGTGCAGCCATCTGCCCTTCACTATCAAAACCAAAATAGTAGTACCAGAGACAGGTCCCAAGGGGAAATAGAGGCTGTTATTGACACAGGCTGTACTCAGTGCCTAATCAGCCTCCCCATAGTTGAGCAGTTAGGCATACGTACAGACCCTAGCTCGCCCCATTTGCTTTGAGCAAATTGATGGGATGCTAATTGCCAGGGCCCCTGTTACTTTAGTCACGAAACTCATCAGGCTGGAGATGGGACGCCACTGAGACCTCATCCAATTTGTCATAGCCCCCAAAATGACTGTCGATCATATTAGGGCTTGCATGGCTAGACAAGTGGGGTCCAACCATCAAATGGGAGGATGGTTATAGAAAATTAACCAATGGCATTGGACCGCTGCCACCCATAAAACTGCACCATTATCTAGAGACCACGATCCTTAGCAGTGCCAATGGGCCTGAGCCTGCAGCCCCTGATGAGCTAGCTGGCAGTCAGCAAGTACCAAAAGAGTACCAAGACTTATCGGGGGTTTTCACTGAAGAAGACTGCAACTTCCTCTCCCCTCACAGCCGACCAATTGCGTGATAGAATTTATACCAGTGACTAAACTAAGATGTATTCCATGACTCCTAAAGAAATTGAGGAACTGAGAAAATACATCAATGCCAACCTAGCGTGGGGCTTCATCCAGCCCGCAAAGTAGTAGCCCTAGTACTCTTCAAAGAAAAAAAAAAGATGGGGGAATGAGACTTTGCATTGATTTTCGTAGAATTAATGCCATGTGCATGGCGAACATCTACCTTCCTTCATGAAGGACATTCTGAATCATTTGTCCAAGGGCAAGGTGTTCAAGTTGGATTTAAGAGAAACATATTACCCCATAAGAATCTGAGAAGGAGATGAATGGAAAACTGCATTCAATTGCCTGCTCAATAGCTTCCAATTTAAAGTCATGCCTTTCTGTTTGCAAGGAGCCCCCGTAGTCTTCATGCAACTAATCAATGAAGTGCTGCATGAGCACCTTTATAAAGGGGTCCTCGTTTACCTAGATTGCATTCTTATATTCAGCAAAACCTTTGAAGAACACGTAAATCTGGTATGGCAAGTATGAAAAAACTCACCACCAAGCTTTACTCAAAGCTGTCAAAGTGTAAATTCCACAAGACTTTCCTAGATTACCTTGGCTACTGAATAGCCAGCCGCTTACTTGGACAATGGACTGTCAAAAAGCCTTTGAAAAGTTAAAAAGAACATTTTTGAGCTGATTTTGCAGCACCTGGATCCATAGCAACAATTCATAATACAAGCAGATGCCAGTGACATAGCCATGGCAGCAGTGGTCCTGCAAAGGGATCAAAAGGGACAACTCCTGCCTTGTGGCTACATGTTCAAAAAGTTCACTGACACCGAGAGACGACGGGCCATTTGGGAGAAGAAAGCCTATACAATCCGCTGGGCCCTGCTCTCATGGAGACATTTCCTGAGGGGGGAGGTGTCTAGACTGATCACAAAAATCTCAAAGCTCTGCAAACCCCCAGAAAACAAGTCTGCTGGGCACAGTACTTCAGACGGTTCAAATTCAAACTAAAGTACATCCCAGCAGGAAAAAAAAACTGTTACAGATGCCTTGTCAAGAAAATTGGTCGGACCTGTTACCGTTTGCAGAAGTGGCTTACAACAATGTCTAGCATAGCAGCACCAGATTGACTCCTTTCCAAGTTACCAGTGGCATGGGATTTGTCCTCATGCCTGAACTGCCTAGAGAACCCTCCTCTTCAATGTCTTTAACAGAGTGGATGGATTCTCTGAAAAAGGGGTGAGAAAATACCAAGAAAGCGCTGGCAGAAGCTGCTGAAGAGTATAAAAAGCAGGCAGACAAGCACCCCCTGCTTCAACCCCTTCTACTTTGTAGGAGTTTCTTATCAACCAAATATATACAGTTGAGGCTGCCTAGCAAAAAACTAGGACCTAAGTTTTTGGGTCGTTTCCCAATAGTGAAAGTAATTAACCCAGTGACGGTTCAACTTAGTCTTCCCAGCATTCTAGGGAAAGTACATCCTGTTTTTCATTGTAGCTTGCTAAAACCAGTCATTCGGTCTGGATTAAGACCTCAGACCCAGCCACCACCTCTTCCTATAGTAGTACAAGGAGAAATTATGAAGTGAAGAAAAATTTAGATTCTAGACCAGTGGTTCTCAACCTGTGGGTCAGGACCCCTTTGTGGGTCGAAAGACCCTTTCACAGAGATTGCCTAAGACCATCGGAAAACACATATATTTGAAAGAAAATACGAAAAACAAAAAACAATTTTATGGTTGGGGGCACCACAACATGAGGAACTGTATTAAAGGGTTGTGGCCAATGTTCCCTCTAATTTTTTTTCAGTGTGAGCGAAAAAGTATAGTGTTTGAGCGGTACATTTTCATGCCTGAGCACCTGAATTT